TTCGTCTGAAGCGCAGCCAATTGGATTAGTGTTGATCATGACTCGGGATGATGGGATGTTAATCAGGACTGATCAGGCACTTAACAGCCGCTCAGATGCATCGGGCTCGCTGCAGGGCCATAGGTAGAGAGAGCACAGCCCCCCCTCCCAGATCAATGGGCCCGGTTGTTGTCTGGAAGGTATTGACAGCCAGCTGAAAGCAGATAAAGCTTTTACAGGAGCTCGCCACACACCCGGGTTTATGTTTGTCATATTTCACTAAGCGAGTCCCCGTCAGGAAAAAGGACAAACAAATGAGATTTGAAGTGAGCTGTTTGTGTAAGTGATGATCCGAGATGTCAAATCCGCTCGGTGGACGGATGCTCGGAAAAAGACTTTTAACTTAAACATATTCATCCTGATCAATGATGAATTAAATATCTATGAAATCTAAAGAAAAAGCATTATTTTTATCTATTATTTATAAAAGCCTCACCCATAACAATGAAATTGCACAAATCTGTCTAAACAGGGACAAAGATTGTGTCTCAACTTGTCTTGAATTAATCTGAATTTCAGCAGTTTTTTGCATAAATTCTGTTTCAAGTAATTTCATCCTGTTGCAAAAATGCAGAACGCCGACCAAAGAGTCAGCTTCAATACAAAACAATCATTTGCATCTGTTCTCAAAAGCCAAATTTACGCCATATTTATGCCAAACAAGTATTCGGTTTATCGTCAGTGTCTGGAAGAGTTTATTTTTCTCTCTCGTTGCAGTGGCGTTCCACGGACTGCAGCTGAAGATCAAGAGAGAGCTGCACAGCCCGTGTTCAGAGCTGAGCTCCAACTGTTCTCAAGAGCGGCCCTTCAAACTTCAGTATGGAGAGAAGTGCCCGTACAACATCAGGTGAGCGTCTCTCAAAAATACCTCAGAGTGACACCTCATTCACAAAACACGTTATTTGCTTCCACATTCATTAACTGAAATGTTTTTGTAGATTTATTTAGCACAGGAACAAGTTAAAGTTGTGGAAACAGTTGAGATAAACATTCTTTCTGCATCTTCAATGATGAACATGTTTTCCATGAATTGTTCGTCTCTACGTTATTTTTACTTTTTTCATTATTTACTCATTTACAAACATGTTGAACATTTAAAATTCGATGTACACGAAAGTGCAGACGAGTCCCATTTTAAATCCAACGCACATTGTGATAAATACAGTCATGCTGAGTGATTTCTCTTGTGTTGCTTGGTTACACTCTGATTTGATTTGTAATACATCACATTCATTCCACATGCCTGTTAGTATAATGACCTCGTGTGTAGGGAGTCATCATGCATTCTATTTTACAAGTGGTTCATTTACTCACCTGCTGATGTGATGAGCAGAAACAGACAACGACATTTGGTTTTACATCAAAAATCTCTACGCTGTAAAGATTGTTGTTTGTTATACCCATGGAAATGAGCCAAAACACATCTGAGCCAATACTTGATTTTCAAAGTTATGGTGTGAGGAGATGAATGTGGAGCGAAAGAAAGTTTATCATAGTGCAAAAACAACTAAATCAGATTTTTTTTTGTTTGAATTATGTCGAGTAACATTTGATTTGCCCTAAGCTGCGGTTCCCTGGTTCAACTCCCGGCTGGCTGGACCGTTTATTGGCAGTTCGGTCTTTAAATCAGAGATGAAGTTACATCCTCTCCAGAGGGAATCAAACCCCAAACCCGGCCCGTACCTGGAAGCTTCATTGACTCTTGTCTCTTTTACCCCAGTGCCTATGAGCAGAAGCAGCCTGCAGGAATGAAGCCCTCCAGCCCAGTGACGCCCCCCTGTAGCACCCCTGTGTCCCCCCTCCATCATGCCTCACCCACGGCCGCCCCAACGCCCAAACCAGACAGGACCTACGCTCACATCCCGTCCTCACAGCCGCTCCCTGACAACACCTACTCTATGGACCACAGGTACGTCTGAGGCCTTCAGCCGCTGGTTCAACTCCGAATATAACAAGGTCACTGCAGCAGATGTGAACTAACACATGACGGTGAAGTAATTTAATGTTCAAAGACATGATGCATGATACGATAAGTGTGAAATACACATAAATAAATATAGTAAATTAGTAAGAAATACAATATAAACACAATATTTACAGTTTACAGAACATCACTTATATATGATATTGAAATTTCACGTATGGAAAAAGGTTGAGTTTTGGTTTTAGTCAGTTTAGAGGCTTTCGGAGCTTTCAACTAGTTAATTGATTATTGAATTGTCATTAAAACATAATTTCAAGCTTAATTTGTGTTTTTCTTGAGACATTTGAAAATGTCATGAAGGGTTAAAGCAGCTGATTTACATTTCCTGATGTTTCATAGACTAAAAGTTCATAAACAAAAATTAGTTAATATCAAATTAAATGTACATTTCAAACAGCGTGACCTTCAGTCTCCTCTCATTGACTTCAGTACTTCTTTAATCAAAGTGAGTGAGTGGGCCTGGTCTTCTATCGCAACGTATTCTAATGTCACGTTTCTGAAAACTTGTGATCAAAGATTTAAATTCTCTCTTTAACTGCTTGTTTGAAATTCTTTTCAAAAAACAAGATCAAGCTGAAGACGATTAAGTTCCTCTCCGTCTTTGTCTCCACTGGCGCGTTCGTCCCCCTCAGATTTCGACGTCAGCTCTCAGAGCCGTGCCACTCGTTCCCCTCCCCGCCGACGATGGCTCGGGACAGCCGGCCCATCTACCACAGGCAGATGTCGGAGCCCAACATCCCCTTCCCTCCTCAGGGCTTCAAGCAGGAGTATCCCGACCCCCTCTTCGAACACCCGGCCATGATGGGCGCGCCGCTTCCCCACGCGTACCCCACCACCATGATGATCAAGCAGGAGCCCCGGGACTTCACCTATGACTCAGGTGAGAGGAGTGTGTGTGTGAGTGTGTGTGTGTGTGTGAGGAACAAATGACAGAGCCAAGACGTGAGAGCAGCTTTTTTCTGTTGCCGGAGCGTTATCATCTCAGGAATGGGAGAAGACATGGGAGGAGGGGGTTGGCGTTTATTGAGTTTGCCCATTATTAGGGCAGGGGATCTGGTTTTTGCAGGGTGTCTGCACCGGTCGCCATTTCCTGTGGCGCTCTAATAGAAAAGAGGAGGGGGCTGTGCCTGTTTACAGTCCAACATCCACCCTCCCACACTTATTCGCTCTCTTTAGTCAGAGAGTCAAGGGACCTAATCCTCCGCCTGCGGCCTCTGTGGAGCCTCAGGCTGCATCAGGACATGAATGAACATACGCTGGACGGCTGGGTTCATTCAGAGACGACCCAGGAGAGCGAGTGTGACCAGTCAGGAAGAAAAGTAACCTCTTCCCGTGCTGATGAGCTCTGGGGCCTCGCTGTGGCTCTTTTCTCTCTTTGTCACGTCGCACGTCTGTTGTTTTTTTTTTGTCGTGAAGGAGCCAGGAAACTGTGATTTTTGGTGATTTCATCACTTTCCAGTGGCTGGCTTACTTCGCCATTTGAGTGTGAGCTGAGTTTCACAAAGACGTGCGGCTTCTAAATACTAATTAACACCACTGGGTAATTTCAGGAAAAAAACAGCCTCAATTAAAAAAAATAAAAATAATAATACAGCCTGGTTTCGACATCAGGTTTCAGCCCGGTTATGTGACAGGATGTGTCAAGATTAAGACTAAACTGCGACTAAATGAGTCTTTTAAAAACAGAGACATGGTGAAAAATGCCCATAATTAATTAACGCTCAAAATGTGTAGTTGCTTATTTTGTGCAGACCGAAATATATTTAACAAATATTTAAACACTGAAAAATCAGGGTTTCTTTAAAAATAGTCTGAATTTAAGGCCTTAACAAATCTTTAACATGTTTTAAAATCAGTTTTTTTATATTTCGGCAGAGTGCATAGTTCGTTGTTTTGTCCTGTGTTGAAGTTCTTCCTGAATGAAACAGATTAACACGCTGTGACAAAACTTCAAGTTGGAACTAAAAACTTACACTCAGCTGTGGACGATGCTACGACACCAACTGTCAGCTTTTAAATTTAAATCATAATGGTCTTAAAAGAAACCCTGACAATAAAACCAGTGTGGGTAAAGAGAGGAGAGAGAATATCTCGGTCCGCTCCTGCTCTGCAGATCCAGGACGCAGCTTCAGAGTGAATTTATTATCCGTCACAGCGGAGCATGTTGACCGGAGCGGGCCTGTTGGGAAGGATGGGAGGGGAGCTGGTAATTTCATTAGCAGCAATTTCCTCTACAAGCCCATTACTTTGATGAAGTTCAGAGAAATGTTTATGGGCCTCGGTCTGTTTATTGAACATTCACTTTGTAACCTGTTTGGCCTTTTTTTTTTTTTTTTTTTGATCACAAGCCATGACAGTGATGTCTGTGTTGTGGGAGGTTCGGACATATTCACTAAATGCACAATTCAATCTGCACAGTGTCGTTAAACAAACCAGTGACACGGGTTAAAAGTTATGTAGTTGTTTCTTTTGAGGAACATTGAGAATTGTGTGATTAGACATTAAAAAGTCAAATGATTTCATTTTAAAATGTTAAATTACATCTGTGAAATATTGTATTTTTTTGGTTCAAAGTGCAAATATCCAGTTTAAAGTTTGATATTTTGTCGGATCCGTTACGACGTTAAAGAAAATAAACAATAGAAATGTGGATTAAAAGGAAATCTGAACTTTGAGACTGAATGAACCGTCAATATTCAAAATGCAGCAACAATAATTTGACTGTATAAGAAATCTAAAGGAAAAAACCATCTTTCTTTTATTTATTAAGATGTTTACGCTCCAGACCCTGATCATCAGGACTGTGTGGGTGTGTTTTAATCAGATTTGAATGGCAGTAGCCTGGCAACACAAACAAATAACATCATTAAATGTTTCTGATTGGTGCACGACGGCACCCCAGCCCCGCCCCGAACTTAAACCAGCGAACAGATCCGATCATCCAGGAGGAGCTTGAGTGAGGAAACACGTTTTCAGGGCCTTGAAATGAAAAAACGACACTTTCATGTGCGTTCAGCGAAACATGTTGCTGCTGCACAATATTCACAGAGAAACCAACACCTGCAGGTCGCTGTGGTTTTAAAGTAAAAGCACATTATTGAGCCGTTGCGATATGAAAAAATCTTATATCGTGTCAGGTTGTGTTTTCACACAAGTGCCGTTGTTTTGTTCGGCAGTAAATCTTCCTGCGAGTGGAGACGCTCCGAGGATCCATTAATGGTTTGATACAGTGAGTTCGCCGGTGGCTGGGAGCCATTGCCGTGCTGGCGCTGGAGGGCATATTCTTTAATCAGAGCCAGTGGTGCATTGAGTGAACAGGCTTTGACTTCTCTCAGATAACTGAGATAGTGTTCTTAATGCTGCCTTCGGGCCCTTTAACACCCACTCTCCCATTCTGGCTTTCAGCAGAAGTGCCGAGCTGCCATTCTGTCTACTTACGGCAAGACGGCTATCTGGCTCACACCACCAGGACTGAAGGTACAGACGATGACACGAGTGAACGCTGTGACGCTGCGACGTACGTGCGGATCGTACATCACACTTTGCTTTCATCTTGTCTTCCAGGTTGTATGTTTGAAAAAGTGGCGAGGCATTTCTACGATGATACCTGCGTCGTGCCAGAAAAGGCCGAAGGTGAGTTTTTTTTTTTTTTTTACCAGAGTGAAATACTTGTAGACACTGCAAATAAAAAGTTCTCACGATCCGCACTGTGTCCTGAAGGTGACATTAAGCAGGAGTCAGGCCTGTACCGCGAGGGCCCGTCGTACCAGCGCAGGGGCTCGCTGCAGCTCTGGCAGTTCCTGGTCGCTCTGCTCGACGACCCGTCCAACTCGCACTTCATCGCCTGGACCGGCCGCGGCATGGAGTTCAAACTCATCGAGCCAGAGGAGGTGAAGTTTGTTCCCCAATCGTATTTTTCACACAGGTCTTGGGTTTAAATCTTTGTAAATGTGAACATCTCCAGGGTTTGAGCTGTTGATCTGATTGTAAAATGTAAAATACTCAACATATTAGTAGATGATGGAAATAATCTTCTATTTCCAGCTCTGGTTCGGTGCGTCACATTCATACATGGGCCTGGTGGAGGTCTGGTGGAGGTATCCACATAAAGAATAATAAATTAGCATTTGAAGAGGATTGAATAACGTTCTCTGCTCTCTGTGGTCAAACCAGGCCTGGACTCACCATCACAGTTTATTTTTATTCATCTTTTATCTTTATTGATCAAACCAACCACATACACCCGACTCAACCCCCCCACCCCCCACCCCCCACCCCCCCAGCTGAATATTTCACAGGACATATTCCTAAAAATAATAACCTGTGTTGACGGTTGGGCCTTTTGAAATGGAAACAGAGGCCGGGTCTGTGTGCGCACACATCGCACACAGTGAGGCTCAGTCACTGTTGCTCGCTGTCGGAGGATGCGGGGCGCAGTCAGGGGGTGGGGGGGTGGGGCTGTAGAATGGAGGAGATGGAGGGGTAACCTTGCAGCCGTCCACGCAGCCCAACGGTGTCTGGAGGCAGCTGCGGCGAACAGGGGGCCCATTCATGCCATCAGGTGACCGAACACACCGGGTGTTGCGACGCCACGGACAAAAGAGAGCGAGCAGCTTCTGCCTTTTCACCAGGTGTAGCACATCAAAAATATCTGAGCGAGAGATTCAGGGGAAAGAAAACGGGAGCTCGAATAAAAGCAGAGAGGAGAAGCGAGCGAGCGCCGTGGGGCTGTGGGTTTGGACTGCGAGGCCGGGTGGTGGGTGGTCTGGTAGACAGGTGCTGTAACATCTGCTGCCTCCTCCGCTGGGTGTGTGACAAGCTCCTAATGAACACATCCCTGCTCAGGTCTGCTCAGGCCGGACGCACTGTAATTACGGTTATTAGCAGAATATGGATTAATAAGTTTGTTCAACATTTCAGCTGCAGCAACGCTCCTGTCAGGAAATCAGGTTGAGCGTGAGCGTCTGTGTTGGGTTTTCGTCTGGAGTCCTGTTCTCCCGTTTGTGTTTACTGACATGTGTGTGTGTGTGTGTGTGTACGAAGGTGGCACGTCGGTGGGGGATACAGAAGAATCGACCGGCGATGAATTACGACAAGCTCAGCCGATCGTTGCGCTACTACTACGAGAAGGGGATCATGCAAAAGGTAACGGCAGATAATTTATTACAAAAGATATGAAAACAACACAGAATATTTTTTATGAGATTAATAAGAAATCACAGAAAACTTTGGAAAAAGAAGAAAATCTGCTCCCGTTAAAGGTTTTTATTATAATATTATAAAACACTGAAGAAGAAGCATGTAGAAGAAGAATCTGACGTCAACCTGCCCCCTGTCATATAAATAACAAACCATGAGTACAGATGGCCAGCCCCCTTTTTTAATCTCCTTTCTTTTCACAAAACAAATCAATTGTTCATTAATCAACAGCCATCAGAAGCAGAAGTGGTGTTTATTGACAAGTGGGTTCACAAATACAAGGAATTTGCTGCGGCGTGTTTCTACATAAGCATAAATATAAAAATTACAGTAGAACAATATTATGAACACAAAGGATTTCTACATTCAGACATATGTACAGTTTGACCGTTATTGGTTATTTCTTAAATTGAATAATATTTGAGTAACATTCTAAAACATCGTCCTGAGAATTCCACACTTTAACAACATAAACAGAATTAAACATCTGTTTCAACATGTGGACAAAACATCTGTCAGAGGAGGAGAAGAATCCAAGCCCTCTGATATTTACACTTTTTAAACGAATCCGATCAGTTTCACGTGAGAGGTCTCACTCACTCACTGAGCTGATTGACAGCAGCTGTGTGAAGCTCCTCCCCACAGCTTATAAAAGGAGGCGGAGCTCTTTAAAGATGGAGGAGCTGCTGAACGACGAAGGCCTGAACCCGTCACCTGCAGTCAGATAGAAGTTTTTACTTTTTTCCCCTGATTTGTCCACAGAGGAGTTGATGGATCTTGATCTTGACGTATTGACGGAGCTGATATTTAGGAGTGTGTGTGATTCTGTTGGGCCTTGGTGGATGTATGCGCTAAACGACGTGCTTCCATCTAAGCATTTCTGGTTAAGCGGGTCGTCCACTAACCAGAAGGTTGGTTGTTCGATCACCGGCCAAAGTGTCCGAGATACTGAAAGCCAAATTGTTTGTTCTTGCTGTGTGTGATAGAATAAGACTACCTCCATTTACCTTTGTTGGAGAAAATGCAGAGAAGTCCTGGACTTTGGTTGCAGTTCGTACACATCAGCAAACTTAACAATAGGAAATAACGTTGCTCCTCCGCTGAGCGTCAAACCAAATGATCCTCCTGAAGTTTCATCGTGTGTCATCACCATCCACACGTCTGTTTTTTTTATCCAGCTGTGAACACGCTGCAGCTCCTCCAGGTCTTTTGTGCGTTCAATCAGTCAAACTTAATTTGTGCACCACCTTTCATACCAGCGATGGAAAGTGCTCTACAGGCGCATGACGAGCCGATAATGAGACAACACAAATGTAAACAGTAACACAATTTGAAACTAATGAAAACAAGAAATAAAAAAAAGGATGAAAATGTAATAAATGAAATAAGTGGGAAGAAGAACGGGAGGAAAGTTGTGCAAACAAACTCAAATGAGTTATTTTACATTGTGAACTCATTTAATACTGACTTGCTTTATATTGTTGTGTAGATTCAGCTCATCACTGAAGACCTGCAGCATTTACTCCCACTGTTATTGATTCAAGGTGTTTCTTATAGAGTGAAACTGAAATCAGTTGGATGTTGAGGTGGAAGAGATTTGAAGATACACATTTTTGTTTCCATGAATTAAAAAATGATATTAGACCTTTTTAACCCACTGACAGATCAAGATCCACAGTGATTTATTAAGTGAAACCCAAAAGTTCCAATCCCACATTCTTCATCTCAACTATCTCCGCCTCTTCCTCCCTCCTCCCTCCTCCCTCCGTCCAGGTGGCCGGTGAGAGATACGTCTACAAGTTCGTGTGCGACCCCGAGGCCTTGTTCTCCATGGCGTTTCCCGACAATCAGCGGCCGGTGCTGAAGACGGACATGGAGCGGCAGATCAACGAGGAGGACACGGTGCCGCTGTCGCACTTTGACGAGAACATGGCCTACGTGCAGGAGGGGCCCTACTGCCAACCGCACCCCTACAGCGAGGGCTACGTTTATTAACGGCAACCCCCCACCCCCCTCCTCACACACGTGCACACACACACACACACTCATGCCCTCAAACACACACCTCCCTCCTCCCCTCCATCTCTTCCTCCGTTACTCCAGAGACTGTTGTGTCCTCTAATTCACAGTCTCTCCAGGAATAAGACTGAACACACATATGCAGCGGAGCTTCCCCTCTCTCTCTCTATCTCTCTCTCCCTCTCTCTCTCCCCCTCCCTCTCTCTTACTCTGTCTCTCTCTCTCTCACATAAACACACATGTCCTCTTGGTTTTTTTTTGCTCTTGTCTTTCTGACGTCCACAGCAGGATGGAGAGTGCACTTTATGGACAGGAGGAATGGCGCGGTGTTAACCTGCTAGCTATGAGCTATGTGGTTGTTTATGTTTGTACATTAATGTGGGAATCGTTCTGTTTGTTTCTTCTGTTTTTTTTTTTTTTACTGAGTTCTTCGGAGCATGTGGCTGCGACCCAACAACGACTAAATGTTACACTCTGATTTTCACGCCGACAAAAACGATCTCGTCCGCACACGAGCAGCAAACGGAACGTCGATCGCTTCTGTTCGACCGTCCTTCACTCAGTCATCCTGGGGACGTGTTGCGACGATACTTTCGAGGTGAAGTGACACGATTACAGACTCGTCAGAGAAACAAAAGAGACATTCAGCCACGGTGATCTCTGCCCCCTCGTCCAGTCAGACTGTAGATCTCACGTAGGTGTTTCAGCTGTAACGACACAAACTCCACCGGAGACGAGACGTCGGCGCACAAAGGACGCACTGGAATAGTTCTGAACTGTGTGAATGAAACTTTTCTGCATCACAGCCTGTGTTTAGGATAATCAATAAAGCCTCAGGCCGCTGTAAGATAACTCATTAACTGTAACTGCAGTTTCCTTCGTTTCTGACAGAGCCACTCGTTTGTCATTCAGCTGTTCAGTTTTTTCAATGAATAACTGGAGAAAGTGTCTGTACAGTCAAAACGGAAACACATCCGTAAGGTTCCAGAGGTTTGCAGCCGATAAAAGGCTGAAAAATCAAACACAAAATCTAAAATGTCCCTGATTTCTTTTTTCTTTTTGGTTCCAGGGGAACATGAAATGTATATTTTGCTTTAAAATGTTGCATCGCCATTGATAGGGTTGTTTTTTGTTTGGTTTTTTTTGTTTAAAAAAAAAATGTATAAGAAATATCTAGAGTTTTATAATGTGATGACAAACATTCATGTTATAACAAAAATAGTGTTCCATTGTATAATCAGGTAAATCCACATTTTGTTGCTGCTTCAAATTGTACGTGTATTTTCTAGTCTCAAGATAAAAAAGGAAAAGAAAAAGAAAGTGCGGCAGATATGGCTTGCTCTTCTTTCATTTCTAATTCTCTTATTTTGAATTTTATTTTTTATTTTATTTGTTTTTGTTCAATTTGAACATTTAAAAAAAAAAAAAGTCTGGTCTGGTATGAGTTTTGTTCTCGAGGGCCACATGTCTGGGGCGGGATTGGCAATAGCAGAAATTCTGTAATAAAATATTCCTGAAAAACAATGTCATCGCCACTTTTCCGATGTTTTTAACGAATCATCGCATAAAGGTTTTTGTTGTTGTGAACCATCGTGTTTCCTCTCGTGGAGGTGCAGAAAATGTAATTTAGCGCTGATTTCCACATTCAAACGCACCATTTATCACTTGTCTCTTGACAGATAAGATGAGTTCCAGGTCATAAATGTACAATATGAAAGTGAACTCCGAAGCAAATGTGTGTGTGTGTCAGTGTGGGTAAAGACTAATAGATTAAAGGCTCTTGTCAATTTCCAGGTTCGAGAGAAAACTCCCAACCACAAAGCATTTAACCAAAGTGACACCTGAGGAAAAATCAATGGCTAATTTAAGACACCCCTTTTTCATGGAGGTGAATTGTTTCTGTCCTTTTGTTTCTGCTTCTCTCACAAGACTGGCAGTAATGAAAAAAAACAAGAGGGTAACACTCCCTTAAAGTTATTATTTCCTTCTGTAAAGTGTCACTATCGCTAAAAATCAATGACTAATTTAAGGAAGCATTGTTTAATTGGTTCCACTGATGGGAAAAATGAAAACGGATGTGTAAGTAATGAAAAAACACGACTTGCCTTAATTTGTCAGAGCAGGTTACGAACCGACCCCATTACAGTCCCCACTCTGTTTTTATTGATCGCCTGCAGTGCAGCGGATCGCCGTTAACTTTAAACACCTGATTGTTTCCTCCGAGGATGTTTAACAGCATCTAATCCGACATATACAAAAACCAAGAGCGGCAAAGCTTTTAATATGATGAATGACACTTCTCATTCGGGGATTCTCTTTAAAACGACAATAATCTGCATTAATAACCTGACGCACATGTTATATATCACTCTGCCCAGCACATAAAGCACTAACATGTAATTTAAGTGGAATTAAATCAGTCGTTATGAGCTGAAGGAGGATTTTTTTAAATCCCATCTCTGATTTCAGTGAAACTTTGTTCACGTCTCCTCGATCCATGAATTATATTCACATTTAATCACATTTAAGTGACGTTTGAGTGCTTTTAGTCCAGTGACATACCAGACCTGTTTTCATGGCTGTGTAGAAAATATATTATTGATATTATTATAAAATTACACGAAAGAAACAGTTAATTGAATAACAAGGAATCTACGAATAATTACAACAATTTACCGCACTTAAGTACAATTCTAACTTCTACTTGAACAGAGAAAATTCAGTTTTCCACCACATTTCAGATTATTGTTCTTTTTACGTCTAATTAACAGATGCAGTGACAAATTTAACATTTAGTAATTATCATAAAAAATATGATGCGTTTCTAAATTAAACCACACAAACGTGTAAAAGATGATTAGATGATCTCCATCTGAGCCACTTTGACGATAATACTTTTTGGTTTTAATGCATATTTTCACTTGAATGCAGAATTGCTCATATTTGTGATGTTAGTGAAATAAAGGATCTGAGGCCTTCTGCCAACACTGACTTCTAATAGTTGGTGGCTCCAGGTTGGGGGAGTGGAGGCTCGTCGGTTGCAGCTGCTTCGCTCTTTCTAAAGTCCTCTGCAAAGAGAACCAGTTGGTGTCTGTGGTTTGACTTTTGCTGTTCAAATGAACTTCACGGTTACAGACCGGACACAAGTGACTGTGGTGTATTCAAACTCCCGTCAGTGAAATCTCATGCAAATGCGTCTGTGCTTTAAATATGTGGCAAGTATTTTCAGGTCAGTGGTGTGCTGCCGACGGCGCAACAGCTCGGTGAGCGATTTACAGCCGCGTGTGACTGCGGAGTCTTAAGGTCACTGGTAGGATTACTCGTCTTACACCTTTTTCAAGGCGTCGTGTCACTGAGGCTGAAAATCACCATGCAAATCCTGTTATCTGGCCCCGGTTCAGGGGAATCAGGGCCTCAGCCATCAACATATTTACCATTTATGGACATATGCTTTACATCCTGTGCCACCGGCCAAATCCTCCCCTCCTCCGCTGCACTAATATTCCGAGTATCTGAACTGTGAATTGTGGTCCTCCCCCACTGTAACAAACAGATGGCCGCTCGATCTTGAGTCATCACAAACCCATTACCAGAGTGACTTGTCCTCAGCCGGGCCGCCTCGATTCGTGCCCGATGGCTCTCGCCGGTGTTTGCTCAGGCTCTTAAGTCGTCCTCGGGCTTCGTGACACGCCGTGTTTGCTCAGGTTAAATGGCTCGTGTTGCCCGTGGAGTCCCCTGATTGGCTGTGACACGGCGGTGTTTGACGAGCGAAATGACACCGAGCGGGGGGCCCCCCGTCGCAGCAAATGTGTTTGGCTGTTTGAAACAAGTTGGCTTTTAATACAGTGTGTTTACACACCAAAAAGCCCTAAGTGTGTTTCTATCTGTGTTGCCAGGGTCTAACAGTGGCCAGACCAGTGAGCATAAATCATTCAGGGGTAATTCAGAGGAACAACAGAGGAAGAAGCAGGGAAATTATAAAGCCTCTATAATGGAGGCACCTATTACAGCGGCTGGTCCAGTTTAAGACGGCCTCATAAATGGTTTTATTATCCAGGAGGCTCTATTCTGGTCGTCCAACCAGCACTAAGCTATCTGCCAAAAATCACTTTTACCTCTGAGCCGAAATCAAAATCTTCCCAAAAACATCCCAATTTTCCTCACGTCCACATTTTTCTTTGTTGTTTTTCCATCTCTGTCTTCGTCAATTACGGAGCGCGCTCGTTGTGCTGCGGGACAAAGCGCGGTCATACTTATTTCCCAGCAGTCACTCCTGTGCGCGGATCAAAGGTCTCTGAAAAGATACTTTTTGCTGAACACAACGTCGTCGTGGTCTAATTTAACGGAGCTGCTGTTTTTTTTTTCTCCTGCAGGTTTCGGGCGACGCCACCGGTTCCCCACTCATTACACTTTTCACTACCTTGTTGATCCTGCTCCGGAGCAGATGAAACACAAAAAGGCGCCCCTCCCCCCCCCCCCCTCCAACACAAAAGCCTGTGACAGTAATAAATAGCCTCCGTGATCCAGGTTTAGAAAGCTGTGAAATTGGATATTGAGATGCTCTCTGGAGCTGCGGGTCGGGAGTAGTTTCAGACTAGACTGTGGGGATCGTCTAATCCGATCACCGGGAATGTAAGACGGGCTAATCGCTGAGCGGGCCCGGTGTCCTGTGCCCGAGGGGCGGCGGCGATGGCGGGGGAACTGATGCCGAGCTCGTTTTGAGCTGGGATTCATCAAGTCTTCGGTTTCACAGACACTCGTGAAAACACTTTTACGTTCAAAATATTGGTGAATTCGTACAACTCACTTTAACTGGGTCGAATCCTAGTTTTGGACATTTGAACACAACTTTTCATAAAAGTCTCTGTAGAGACAATATTACAAGAGTGAGTACAGTGAGGAGGTAAAACACATGTTGGATCGACCTCAGATTTGTAAAATGCTCATGAAGACGGGTTTAAAAACCACTAAACTTAAAAAGTCGTACAAATTAAAAGATAAATTACTTTTCGATGAGGTTGATTTTTGAAGTAGAATGAAATGATTTTATGTAAAAAACTCTTCTTACACATGATTGAGATCATCGGTGAATGAATAAAATGTAAATGAGTTGTGGGGAAGAAGCTGTTTTAGTTATTTCATAAATCAAAACCTCAACAATAGTCTGATTCTCAGTCGCAGCGTTTATTTTCCCTCCCATGATCCTCACTTTCTAAATCATTATTCAACATTTTTGAGCCAATACTTGATTTTTGAGTTTTTATTTTTCTTCCCAAAACCTGAAAATCAGCATAAGTGAGTTTTCTTTAAAAAAAAAACAAACAAAAAACTGTGTTCTCCCCAATTCATCCCGAACTTGAGAATCGGTGGAGCCCTGACGCCGTCTCTCCGGCTCCGGCCCTGGCACGCCACCCGTCTCTTCACCTTCTACAATGTCGTTTGATCCCTGCGACTCTGTCAACGCCGTGGATCAGCCTCACGACAGACCTTGCAGCCACAGCCACCCAGCGAGGTGGGCTAACCATCTGTCACCGGGGCCCGAGACCTTGGGGCCCAACCCCCACCTCTCCACCTCTCCACCCTCACCCCCTCCCCGGGCCCATTAGCTCTCCCTAATGTAGCCACCGTAGCTCGGAGAGGGCCCCTAACAGGCACAAAATGGACTGCTACTTATCCTCCTTAATTCCCGAATGAGTTCTCTTTAGCGTATACATAATTAATTTCCTGAAGTCACTACGGGCGCCTTTCACCCGTTTAGCAAACACTCGTGTCAGGTTTATCTTTCAGGTGTGTATGGAGCCGCTGATCACGGCTGCTGTAAACGTTCCGCTCAGATTAATCTGGGTGGGAAGAAAAATATCAGTGTGTGTGAAATAAAGAAAAAAATGGAATTCAAAGTCATGCAACGTGATTTAAATAGCGAGGAGTCTGCAGAGTACACTAATGTAGTCAAATGAAGACCGATGTCACAGGGGTAAATTTAGACCACCTCACATTCATAATACCTAATGCACTTTAAATAGGCTTAAGAGGACGACTAGAAATAGGCTCCGATAGTTAATTATTTTCAGGATTCTTCTTCTTGCTTTCGTTTCCACGGGCGTATTAATTCTTTTCTCTGCGAATACGTGGCAGCCATGTCAAATCTACTAAATAATGCACTTGTGACGATACACCTTAATTTCTCGGAGAGAGGAATTCATGGGGTGTTCGCCAATTAAAGTGAATGCAGGCGGTGAGGTTATATTAATATTTTTTATTTTAAGTTTCCCTTTGCAAGCTGGGCTGTGACGATGATGAAGAGAGAAGATGAAATGTGTAACAGGACTCTTTATTTAACAATGAAAACAAAGTAGGAATTTGTCATTTTGCAGATTAAAGTGGATTTCAGGGGTTTTATAATCAGTTGAACATGGAAAACATTAATATAAAGAAGTTCAACCCTCCAGGAATCTGTAATCAAAAAGTCAATTCTTTTAAATGGGGAATATAAAGCAAAATCAAAAGC